TAAATACCAAATATGAGCTACGGGGGAAATCAGTTGAATATACCCCAACCTATATCGACGAATTTTGGATGTTGTATATTCTACCTCACATTCTATACAAAATTTTTTTCTATGCTGTGGTTTTTTTCCACAAGCACATTCATAGTCAACTGTTGGACCAAAAAGTCTTTCACAAAATAATCCACCTTTTTCTGGTTTTAAAGATTAAGTAAAACAAAGTTTTTACTTTTAAAACTGTACAAGCATTTTACAATACATACAGCTTTCATATTCGATACTAAATATTCAAATTTTTGATTATAAAAATTTGAATATTTTCAATAATTTATAAATATTTTTGCAAGTTCTTCTCCTTTCAGAGTGAATTTTCCATTCATGAAGTTTTTTACAAATCTTGACCATATTTAAAATTTTATAAATATAGATTTAAAAGAAGCTTTTTGTAAATTATGTAATTGTATTTTAGGCTACACTAGAAAATTTATTTTATATTTATGCTTTTAGTGAAAATAATCAAAAATTTTTTCTCTTTTCGAAATCAAATTATCTTTCGATAACGAAAAATTCAATTACTGTAAAAAATTTACAAGTGCTTTTCTATTATCTAACTCAATCAAAAATTTTTTGATAATTTACTGTTTGTGAACTTGTTATAGGTCCTATTTTTTTTCCATTTGGTAATTGTCGCTCGGCCCATTTTTTTATTGTTTTTGGCGAAGCTAATCCAATCTGTATGCCTTGTAATTTCATTTTTACATATCAAGAATTATAAAGTTAAAGAATTATTTTTCTAGGCTAGGTTCACACTTTTAGATTATTATAAAACAGTTGTTTGACAGATTTGAACATCTAAGCATAAAGATTGAAGTTCACGTAATAAAACTTTAAAGGATTCTGGGGTTCCAAATAACATCTTCGAATTTTTTAAAATATTTTCTATAATTTTTGTTCGACCGCGCGTATCATCAGATTTTACAGTTAGAAGTTCTTGTAAAATAAAAGCACTTCCAAAACCTTCTAATGCCCAAACTTCCATTTCACCAAAACGTTGCCCTCCATGTTTAGAACGACCTTTTAATGGTTGTTGAGTGACTAAAGAATAAGGACCTGTAGATCTAGCATGCATTTTATCATCTACTAAATGAATTAATTTCATAATATAAGATTTTCCTACAGTCGTTGGTTGGTGATATTTTTCACCAGTTCGACCATCGAACAACGGTATTTTTCCAGTACATTGCGTTGAAAAATACCATTTTTGTTTAAATTTTTTTCGAAGTTTAAACAATCTTTCATAAACTAAACTTCGAGAAGCATCAAAACCGTATTTCTCATCAAAAATTTCAAGTTGATAATCTTGATTTAATTTTTCACTAGCAAATCCTAATAAACATTCAAATAATTGACCTACATTCATTCGTGAAGGTACTCCCAAAGGATTCAAAATAAGATCAAGAATATCTCCATTTAATAAAAAAGGTAGATCTTGTGTTGGTAATATTTTTGAAACAATACCCTTATTTCCATGCCGGCCCGCCATCTTATCACCAATTTTAATTTTTCGTTTTTCGGCAATATATATACAAATTTTTTGAAATTGTGTAGGGGTTGAAAGTTTTGTTTTATAGGGAGTTTCATTTAATGAGATATAAATAACACGACCAAATGTACTTTTTGGAGCCCGTAAAGAAGTATCTTTCACACGTTCGATTTCTTTTCCAACAATATCATAGAGTAATTTTTCATGAGGTAAGAGTGGCTTATTTTCAATAGGGGTTACTTTTCCAACTAAAATGGTCCCCTCTTTGACAAAACAACCTAGTTTTATGATACCGTTATCATCTAATTGGTTTAAAGTTTGATCATGTACAGGTAAATTAGATGTTATCCGTTCTAAACCATATAAAGTTTCCCGAACTTCAACTTCATATTTTTCAATGTGTAACGATGTATATTTCTCTTGTAAAACAAGTTGTTGATTGATGATAATCGCATCTTCAAAATTGAAACCTTCCCAAGGTAAATAGGCGATTAATAGATTTTGCCCTAGAGCTAATTTACCATTTTTGCTAGTTGAGCAATCGGTTATTATATCACCTTTTTGAATCCATTCTAAAGTTGATATAATAGGTTTTTGAATTAAATAAGTACCTTGATTCGTTTTTTGAAAATTTTTTAGCCAAATATATTGTTTTCCATTGACGACTCGGTGAATCGGGTATTTGCTTAAACTAAAATTCTCAGAAAAAATTATTTGCTGTATCACTAAAAAATCTTTTTTAAAATTAATCGTATTCATGAAGATACTTGATAACTTCGTCTTCCATAAATTTTTGGTCACCCGTGGGCAAAATTTCAGCTCATTTATTGATATAAAAAAATGTTTAAAATAAATATTCAAAAACTGCCATGATGTTCTGGGATAATTTTTTAAAAAAGAGTTTTTACGATAAAATCTATTAAATAGTTGTAACTTTATAGGTAGAAATTCCCAATAAATTTTTACTGAGTTAGACAATTTATTAAAAAACTTTTTTTTCAATAAAAGAATTTTTAATAAATTTTGTTTTTTTTGATCTCGATTTTGTTTTTTAGATTGTGTCTTAAATCTATAAAACTCTAATTTAGTTTTACTTGCATATAAAGTTAATCCAGAAAATTTGCTCTGAGCACAATAACCAGAATCACTGATGACTCGACTTTCGACACTGTTACGAATTTTAGAAGATTGAAATAACAATAGAGGGACAGATTGGCGTTGCATATTAGAGCCCATTAAAACTCTATTTGCATCATTATGTTCTAAAAAGGGAATTAAAGAAGTTGCTATAGAAATCATTTGAAAAGAAGAACATAAGCCTAATTGAATATGTTTTTGTGATGTTCTTACAAACTGTTGTTGATAACGTGCGGTTAACGTTTGATTTTTTAAAAAATGAGATTCGGATAGTTGGGTATCACCAAAATGAATTCTGACCTTTTGCTCATGATCCGCTGTTAACCAGATAGGTTCTAATTGTTTTTGTATTTGCCCTTTGTAAATTTTATAAAAAATCGATTCTAAAAATCCATCAGCATTTTTTGTTGAAAAAATTGTTAATGAATTAACTAAACCCGCATTTTGTCCTTCTGGTGTTTCTATAGGACAAACTCTACCAAAATACGTTGAATGAATTCCCCGAATATCCATTCCTGCAGTTTCTCGTTGAATTCCGTTAGGTCCTAAACAACTGATGCGACGTTTATGAGTTAACTCCGAAAGTGGGTTCGTTTGATCCAAAAATTGAGAAAGTTGGCACGACCCAAAAAATTCACGAAGCACACTATTCATAGGTCTTGTCGTAAAAAAGGAGTCTATAGATTCGTTTTTCTTCATTTTTTCTTCTAAAATCTTATTCAATCTAAAAATGGCTTGAAAAAATTGTATTTTTAATAACTCACCAACCGTCCGAATTCGTCTATTACTTAAATTATCAATATCATCTACAATATCTTGATGATGAGTCAAATCCAATAATAGATAGGTGATTTTTAAAAAATCCGCTGGAGTTAAAATCGTATTTTGAGTTCGTAACCCTAATTTAGAATTTAAACGTTTTCGACCAATCATTCCTAGATCATAAATTTGGGAGTTAAGAAATTTTCTATAAATAAAAGTATGATTAAAAGTTTTTTCTACTTGAAAATTTTGAGTTAGATAAAATAGAAAATTTCGAGTATTTACTTTTGTATTTTTAAAAAAATGCGGTTGTGCATTACGGACATTAGATAAAATATTTTTTTTCGAGAAGCCCATAAATTTTAAAAATACAAAAATTGGCATTTTTGGTGTTTTCTTCATACAAACCCAAATTTGCCTTTTTTTATCTAATTCAAACCTAAGCCATACACCACGATAAGAAATGATATCTACATAAAATGTTCGATAAATTTGTTTTTGACCTTTTTGTACGACTTTATTTACTTGTTGTTGATAATAGACACCCGCTGCTCGGATAATTTGATTCACGATTACACGAGGGGCCCCGTTAATGATAAAATGCCCTCGTTTCGTCATTAATGGTAAATTTCCTAAAAAAACCCATTGGAATCGGATTTTATTTTTTTTATTATGAATTAATTAAAAAGAAAAAATTTGATAATTTCTTAAAGAACTTATTAAGCGATTTTCATCACATTCAGCTCATTGTGAATATTTTTTTAAACATGATTTAAAAAAAAATTTACAAATTTTTTTCACTCTTTTGATTGAAAAAAATACAAAATGTTTAAAACATCGGATGATTCCTAGTTAATGCTTTTCTATTAAAAATATGGTTCTATAATACTTTTTATTCTAGATTTAATGAAAAATAGTCAGTACTCTATTTTTTACTAAATAAAAACGTTTAAATAGATTTAAAAAATTACCATTTTTAATAAATATAAGCCTAATTTTTTAATCATTGCGACCCGAAAAAGTTAATATAGCAATGAAACTCTATATTAAAAAGTATTTGACAAAAACTAGAAATACAAACTTATAGTACTGGTATAAAAAGTTTACAACCAAAAGTTTTTGATTGTAGTATTGCTTGATAAATACCATAATTTGGTTCTACTAATTGATAATATTTCGATAAAAGAATGATTTTGACTTGTTGATGGATTGAGAAAAAAACTTTTTTTTGTTCAAGTTGTTGGATTAGACCTTGACTTAAAAAAGTATAAAAGCTTTTACGTTGAATTTTTAATAAATCGGCTACAAAAAATAAAATTTTATAAAAACAAAAAAACATTATCGATTTTTAATCTACTTTCGATATCTATATTCGCTTGTTGATCTTTTAATTAATTCCACATTGATAGTATTTTTAAAACCATATTATCTACCATATAATTTAATTAATGCTGCTTTTTTTATAAATCTCACATGATTCAAAAATTAGTCGTGAAGATAATATGGCACGGTAACATTATATCACAAATATGCTTCATCGTCAAGACCAACCCTAGGTTAACGGAAAGGGAGGGATTCGAACCCCCGGTAGTTTAAACTACGTCGGTTTTCAAAACCGGTGCATTCAACCGCTCTGCCACCTTTCCTTATAAATTGTGTTTGATACTTAAAAAAATTATTTGTAAACTAGAAAATAAAATTTTTGAATAACAATGCGATTATAGCTCGATTAGTATTGTAAAAGCCAATGGGTCGAACTGGATTTGAACCAGCGAAGGTAAATACCAACGGATTTACAATCCGTCCCCTTTAACCACTCGGGCATCGACCCTAAAGAAAATTTTTTATTTGATTTGTGGATAATCCAAAAAGTTGGGGATAGAGGGACTTGAACCCTCACGATTTTTTAAAATCAACGGATTTTCTAATTTCTTTAAAAATAAGTATTTTATACTTATAGAACAAAGAAAATGGGACTTTCTCTTTACCAAAATTATTGACAAATTTTTTAGGTTTAACCTGTAAAGTCTCTACACTCGTATTTCTACTAGCTCGAGGTTATCAAAAAGGTTTCCTCGATTTAGGGTTTCTACATTTTTTTAATTTTCTTAAAAAAAGCTCAAAAAATAAGTCCGCAGCGTCTACCAATTCCGCCATATCCCCTTTAGATGGATTATAAAATAGATCATAATAAAATTTTATTCATTTGTCAACTGGAATCGATTTTATTTATTTTTAGGGATCGGGTTCTAATATATTTTCAGCAAAGCTAATAATTTTTCATACCGAAGGATACTTTATAAATAAAAAAAGTGCATATTGATAAAATTTTCGAAATAATGGTAAGGACAGAAGATAAAAACAAATTTAGCAAATTATTTAAGCGTCGATTGCCCACTTTTTCCATAAAATCTATTGGATAATAGGAAATTCTTTTATTAAATGTATTGAAACATCTCAATTATATAATGATCATTCACAACGAAAGCTATATGTGGTTATTAGAGTCTTACGCTGAGGATTCTCAAGTAGAAGGCTTTAAAATGAAATATTTTGTCTCAACAAAAGTTAAGAAAAGTCAACTATATCGCATAATAACACTTAGAAAGCATCTTTGGGATGTACGACTACACAAAACGTGTGATTATATTTTTTTGATTTAAAATTTTTAGAGAACTTTTAAACTATACTTCAAAGTTACCTAATCTATAAATGTTTATTAGAAGTCGTAATAAAAGATTCATTCGAGTTTTGTTAATAATTTTTTAAATGCTCAATTTTCAGACATCCAAAATTTACGTTCAAATGCTAATTCTAACTATTTTTTAGAACCCTCTTTTTAGCAATAGCCTGGTGTTTTTTTTGAATCATCTTTTTGTTGAAATAATATTTCTAGGTTTTTTTGATTTGTTTTTATGTCTTGTATTGTTTTTAAAAGTTCTTTTATTTGTTTACAATGATCGTTTTTATATTCTTTAGTCTTCTTTTTTGAACTGATTTTTGTTATAATTTTTGAAATTAACAAGCCTATTATTAAAAAACAGCCAAAAATTGTTACCAATAATAAATTTAACAACTCTAATGCACTTGCTTTTTTTGAAAAATCTGTTATCATTTCTAGTGAGTAAAATGATTTCATTTTGCTTTTTTTTTAGTGTTAACTGGGTGAGAAATCTCCCAGTTAATTTTTTATATAGTTTTAAGCTAATTTAAGGTTTGTAATTCCTTTATTTTAGGGATTACTTTTTTTATGGGCGATAAACTTAAACCACGGTATACTAAACCATTCTTTGTCATTATTAATATGACTTTGTTATTTTTTAAATCATCTTTGAGTAAAACTTTTAAATAAAAATTAAAACGATTTTTACCTAAAGGAACGTAGTCGGCTCCGGTTATTGAATTAAATTTATAATTTAATTTACAAAAAGTTAAATAATCGTTGTAAAGCTCTTTTAAAAACGTCTCCCGAATGTTATTATATGTACAATTTGTGGCATACCACTTTTTTATAATAATCTCGTCTATTTCTGTTAAATACATAGTAATTTATTTCCTTTAATAAATATCTTATATTAATAAAAAAAAAGGCCAATACCCGCCATTTTTGGCGGGTATTGGCCTTTTTTTTTGGACAAACCCACCTAGTAGCGGGGTTTAAAGTTTTCTATTTTTTAATCTTGCTCGTTCTTCCGATAGTTTTTTTAGTCGTTTATCTACTCGTGATTGTTCAGCCTCTTCGTAGTCTGATAAATCTTGTTGAAAAGATCGGCGAGCACGGAGAAATAATACTACGAGAATTTTATATGTAACATAAAAAATACCTAATATTACCACTGTACTCGTTATTTGTATTACCACCTTTACGACTTTGGCGTTTGTGGCAAAGCAAACCAAATCTGTGTCACCCCAGGCTGCTTGGCCATCCCGTTGACTTTGTATCAGAGTTACTAAATTTTGTAATGATTCTTTTTCAAACATCTCGAATAAAGGAGGGGGTTGAGGCAGCGCTCCAGGTTGTGCCGGAGGATTATGCCAACCAAACACCCCGACCTATGAAACGAGCCGGACCTAGTGGACGAACCGCAAGGGCTCCCAGTCCTACACCCAACCGAGCAAGATTATTACCTGGAGCTGGTTGTATTTGGGCATCTAATAAAGTTCTTATTATAAAAGCTAATATAGCTAATGTGCGTGGGTCCATTGCGATTTTTTTAATCACTGTAGCCTACATACAATAATGGCAGTAATTGCTGTAGGTTGTTTCCCAAGTTAATAAATATTTTTACCTATTAACTATTATATATATTATAATATATTTTTTTATATAAAACAACATATAGAACCTCTTACTTTTAGTTTTTATAATTAAATACCACTTTTTATAATTAAATACCACTTTTCGACAAAAAGGTGGTGTTTTAAACTTTGTGTAAAAACTCAATCTATAAATAAATATTTTTCTTTTTTATGTTTTGAGTGATGGACTTTTATTATTTTTAAATTTTACGGAATATAAAATTTAAAGTCATTTTAATAATTGAATCGTTATCTAATTTGAGATTCAAAAAATTTTTATAGTATAAAAATTTTAAAAACTATCAGGCTAATTAAAAAAATTATTTATATAATTTAAGAAAACACTCAATAGCTATTAAGATTAGATTTTATAACCATTCAGGGATTATTTATTCTCTTAATCTATAGATTAAGAGGATAAATAAACATAGTTTTTTATTGTTTCTAATTTTTGAAGATTTTTATTACGTCTTAATGGACGTGTAATCAACTCTAGGATATCTCTAGCATTTGTAAAACTATGAATTTGCGCAAAAGTAAATTCTACTGACCATTTTGTATTTATTCCACGGGATTCTAATGGGTTTGCAAGTCCCATACCTGTGATAACAAGATCAGGCTGCAATTCACGAATTCGTTGAATTTGATTATAATTATCAGGTTTTTCTACAATTCTTGGTATTGGTACATTCATTTTGTAACATGTTGTTTCTAAAAGCTCAAGTTCTGCAGATTGATAGCGTTTATCCATATAAGGTATTCCAATTTCATACACAATCATGCCACAGCGAATTAGAAAGCGGGCAAGTGATATTTCTAAAAGATTATCTCCCATAAAAAATACGGATTTGCCTTCAATTAATTTACAATAATCTTTAAGTTGCTCCCAAATTTGCTGTTCACGTTCTAACAATCCTTTTGTTTGGATTGAATAAGTTTTACAAATTTTTTCAATCCAGTGACGTGTTCCATCGGGTCCTATAGGAAATGGGGCACCTATTAGTTTACATTTTCGACGTCGCATTAAAGTTGTAGCTGTTCGACTTAAAAAGGGATTTACACCACAGACATAAGTATCCTGATTTAATATAGGTAAATCCGCATAATGTTGTGCGGGTAACCAACCGGATACACTTATACCTTGTTTTTTTAATTCTAAATCTAATTGATTTGTAACGGTATTCGAGACTGAACCAAATAAAACGAGACTTTGCGGTGAACTTGGTTCAGTTGGACATCGATTCACCAATGCAGATAAGACCGTATCTTCTCCTTGCGTAAAAGCATAATCTAATCCATTTGCCCGTGCCACCACAATGGGAATACTTATATCAATTTCCATTTTAGGGGCCATTCCTTCAAGATCCATTTTTATAATTTCCGTTGTACAGGTACCAATCCAAACAATAACACTTGGGTTTCGGTCTTGTTTAATTTTTAAACATAGACGTTTTAATTCCTTATAATCATTTAATTGAGCAGATATATCCCCTTCTTCGAGCTCCGCCATTGCATAACGGGGTTCAGCGAAAATCATAACTCCTAAAGCATTTTGTAAAAAATAACCACAAGTTTTAGTACCGATCACTAAAAAAAAACTATCTTCAATTTTTTGATATAACCATGCAACACAACTAATAGGACAAAATGTGTGATAATTGCCCGTTTCACACTCAAAGTTTAATTTTTTGTTCATCGTGAATATTAAAGTAATAAAAAATCTAAATTATCAAGATTTGGCTGTTTGATCGCTGTTGTTGTTGTTGCTTTTTCTTTTGTTAAATAAAAATCGGATAATAATTGAAATAGTTGTTTATCGGCTAGTTCTTTTGGAACAACGCCTTCTGGATTTGATAATAATTGATCGACAATATTTAAATAAAAATCACACACGTAATTTAACTGTTTTTCCTGTTCAGAAAGCTCAAATAATGTTTTTCCTTTAACACGCGAAACTCTGATATCTTCAATCAAAGGTAAAACTTCTAAAACAGGCATTGGACAAGCTTCTACATATTTATCTATTAAATCCCTTTGTTGAGTTCTATTTCCAATCAAACCAGCCAATCTTAACGGATGAGTTCTAGATTTTTCACGTACAGAGGCTGTAATTCTATTAGCAGCAAATAGAGCATCGAAACCATTATCTGTCACTATTAAACAATAATCTGAATAATTTAAGGGCGCTGCAAAACCCCCACAAACAACATCTCCTAATACATCAAACAAAATGACATCGTATTCAAAAAAAGCATTTAATTCTTTTAATAATTTGACCGTTTCACCAACCACATAGCCCCCACAACCAGCACCAGCCGGAGGCCCCCCCGCTTCAACACAATCAACGCCACCATAACCTTGATAAATCACATCTTCCGGCCAGACATCTTCATAATGATAATCTTTTAATTGTAAAGTATCGATTATTGTTGGAATTAAAAAGCCTGTTAATGTAAAAGTACTATCATGTTTTGGATCACAACCTATTTGTAAAATTTTTTTTCCTCTTCTCGCTAATGCAATAGAAATATTACAGCTTATTGTAGATTTACCAATACCCCCTTTCCCATAAATAGAAATTTTCATAATTTGATACCTTTAATGACTTTGTTTCCAATAAAATTTTAGAATCTATTTCTATTATAAAAAAAAATAAACAAATAAAAACTCTATTAATAGAGTTTTTATTTGTTTATTTTTTTTTTATATTGACTCAAAAAAAAAGTATACGTAGTATTTTTAAGAATACTTTTTTATAATAATTTAAAAATAATGATAATTTCTTTAGAGACTTCCTTAGCTATCGAAAATTTTATAAATAATATTTGTTTTATTACTTTATTTATGACGATGCTTTTTTATTG